CAAAAAAATGGCTCAGGCACAAGAGATTAAAAGTAGAATTCTTTTGTGGATGCTTGTATATTCAATGCACATGTAATCGAGATTTAAAACAGAAATATATCTCAAAAAGAACTGTGAATGAAGCCATTGGCATATGAAGCAAATTGAATAGATACTTTGTTGAGAGATTTATACTAGCAAGAGTCATCCAACTGGATAAAAAGACACTAAATGTTTAAAACTTAAAAGAATCTTTGGGCCTCTATCTTCTTGTCCAACGTGGTAGAAAATCTTGTCAACATTCTCCATGTAATTGAGAGATCATGTAATCACAAATTCAGTAAGGATATAGAATATTCAAAACTGCAATAAAAAACTTAATCTAATAATCATGTTTTTAACATCTGAAAATAAAAAAACAGATTTTTTTGAGCCCACATGGATCATTTATAAAGAAATAATCATGTTTTAAACCAAAGACAAATCTTAAAACATGTTAAAGAATCATTCCTATACACCCTGTCACAGAGAAGCCACTATCTCTTTAACCTCATGCAATAATAAGTAATAAAATAATAAATACTAATAAATCTCCAGTTTAAAATTTTAAAAACACATTTTAAGTTAATTTAATGAAGAAATCACGGCCAATTAATCCATGACAATGGAGGCAAGAATACATAATGGAGAAAAGACAGTGCCTTCAATAAGTGGTGCTGGGAAAGCTGGGCAGCTACATGTAAAAGAATGAAATTAGAACATTTTCTAATATCATATACAAAAATAAACTCAAAATGGATTAAAGACCTAAGATAAGACCAGAAACCATAAAACTCCCAGAGAAACATAGGCAGAACACTCTTTGGCATAAATTGCAGCAATAGATTTTTGGATCTGTCTTCTAAAGCAAAGGAAATAAAAGCAAAAAATAAACAATTGGGACCTAGTTAAATGTAAACACTTTTTCACAGTAAAAGAAATCATCAACAAAACAAAAAGACAACCTACAGAATGGGAGAAATATTTGCAAAATCAAAAAGAACACAAATAACAAACGTTGACAAGGATGTGGGGAAAAGGGAACCCTCATACAGTGTTAGGGGGAATGTAAATTGGTGCAGCCACTGTGGAAAACGGTATGAAGGTTCTTCAAAAAACTAAAAATAGAACTACCATATGAACCAGCAATTCCACTCCTGGGTCTATACTGGACAAAAACAAAAATACTAATTCAAAAAGATACACAGATCCCAATGTCCATAGTAGCATTAATTACATTTGCCAAGATATGGAAGCAATCTAAATGTCCATCAATGGTTGAATGAATAAAGATGTGGTATGTATATATGATGGAATACTACTCAGCCATAAAAAGGAAACTTTTGCCATTTGCAACAACATGGATGGACTTGGAGGGCATTATGTTGAGTGAAATAAGTCAGAAGGAAAAAGACTAATACTGTATGATATCATGGAATCTAAAAAATACAACAAACTAGTAAATATAACAAAAAAGAAACAGACTCACAGATATAGAAAACAAATTAGTGGTTACCAGTGGGGAGAGAGAAGAGAGAAGGGGCAAGATGAGGGAGGGGCAATATAGGGGTAGGGGTACAAACTATTACATATAAAATAAGCTACAAGGATATATTGTACAGCACAAAGAATATAGCCAATGTTTTATATTAACTATAAATGGAAAATAACCTTTAAAAATTGTGAATCACTGTATTGTGCACCTGTAACATAATACTGTACATCAACTATATTTCAAGATAAAAAAGAAATCATAACAGACATTGGAATACTAAGATTCACTCATAATAAAGACATTACTTTTAAATTGAGGGGTGGAGGAAAATTTATAGCTTTAAATGATATACAATAGAATAAAAAGAAAACTTGGAATCTAATAAATTAAGTATACTTTGTATAAACTAAAATAATAAGGTGAATATAATTCACATGCTTAGTATTCTCATTCATAAATCTGAATAAAATAGGTGAAAAAATAAAAGAAAGAGCAGAAGGTAATAAATAAAAAAGATATAATTAAGAATCCTCAAACCAAAAGAAGATTCTTTCAAATAACTAATTAAGTTGACAATAGCTTATAAAAGTTGCTCAAGAAAAATGAAACAAAAGAGATGAAGGAGGGAAGGAGAGAGATTTGGGGCAAAGGTATTACATATTACAGTAGCAGGTGAGATTAAATATAAGTAGTATACTATTATTTAAAAGAAACAAAGACTCAGCTGAAAGAGAAAAATTACAGAAAATTACTAATAAATCTGACTTACGAAGAATAGCATATCTGAAATTTCCTATAATCAGTGGAGAAATTGAATAACAAATTTAAAATCTACCCACAAAGTAAATATCCAGTCCTAATCATTTTATGGCCAAATTCTGTAAAATATTTAAGCCACCAATGCAAAGTAGCAAAAGAAAGAATATGCCCCAATTTATTTTATGAGCTTAAGATAACCTTAATACTAAAATCATATGAAGATAATATAAGAAAAAATAAAATAATGGCTTATGAACTTAACTGCAAAAATTCCAAATAAACTATTCACAATTTGCATATGAATCGTTCTATGATTCAAACATAAAGTTACAATTATTGAGTTGAATTTAATCCAGAAATCAAAATTATTACATCATTAGAAAATCTAATAATGTAATTCATCTAACTAAAGGGGGAAATCTATATTACTTTATCAAGTCATTATTCAATTTGTCATTTGTCAATTCACTTGTCTATTATTTTGTAACTGATTAACCAAAAATTCTTAATATATAAATTAAATGGCAGTTAATTAAAAAAAAAGTCATAGTCAATAGGGAAATGTTTACCACATTCCCTCTAAAATCATGACTTTAAAGAATGCTTATTAACAGGTCTTCTGTTCAGCATTATACAGACCATCCTGGCCAGTTAAATAAAATAAGAAAGTAAAATAAAGTTATGTATTGGAAAGGCAAATACAAAACTATCATTATTTGTAGAAGACACTATTGTCTAAGTAGATAATTCAAAAGAATCTACAGAAAAATAATTAACAGTTTATATGACACTTAAGGTCAGGTGTGGGAGCAACATTAAAAATAATTGACTTTCTGTATACCAGTAATAAAAATAAACTTCAAATATATATAGTAGTGAAGAAAATATGTTAGTTACAGAAACTATAAACCTAATGAAAAAGTCAAAGTTCCTTACGAACAATTTTTTAAACTTTATTCAAAGACATTAAATCAGACATAGCAAAGGCAAAGATAAGTCATTATCTTGGTCAGCTCAGGTTGCTGTAACAAAGAACCACAATTGCTTATAAATAACAGTAATTTACTTCTCACAGTTCTGGAGTCTGCAAGTCCGAGAACAGAGTGCCAGTATGCTGCAGTTCTGGTGACAACCCTCTTCTGGGTTGCAGACTGCCTACTTCTTACTGTATTATTACACGGTGTTACGAAAGCTAGTTAGCTCTCTGGCCACTTCCTATAAGCGCACTAATCTCATTCATAACGACTCCACCCTCATGACCTCATTACCTTGAAAAAGTCCTACCGTCACATAGCATCACACTGGGATTAGCATTTCAATATATGAATTTCCTGGGGACACATTCAGTCCTTTGCAGATATGTTCATAGATAGGAAAACTCAGTGAAGTTTGTGACCTCGAAGACCTTGCTGACTTGTCTGTTACCAACTGAAGAAATAACTGAGGCAAAGAACACATAATAATCATCTAAACTGAAGGAACAACCTATAGACAAATGCTGGAACTTCAAATTCAGCCTTAGACATTTTAATTATCAAACAACCTGGAACCAGATTAACATCATGTACCCAAATCAGGCCATGTGATTTGAAACTTATTCCAGCAGAACCCTCTCACCACCCATTGAGGTAAAACCTTGAACTGTTGGGACCTTTTAGATTCGGCCACCCTTAATTATTAGGTCATTAATTGTGCCAGTTGGGTTCTGGCACTTTGGTTCAATTATGGCAGTAACCCTGATGCAGGTATCACCTTTGAAAATAAAAGATACTTTAAAGTCAAGCTTCCAGGCCCAACATTACCTTCAAATCTCACAGGGCCACAAAAGCATAACCTACACCAGCTCAAGTGGATATTTACTTGGAAGGATACCGAGTCCCACATCGCAGATGACAGCCCCAGCCCAAGACCTTACCATTGGAGATGACTTTCTCCCCTGCACCAGGGGGGAGACTTCACTTAATATCGAGAACACCGCCCCAGCAATGTCCATGGGCTCTCTCCCCCAAGGTGCTGAGACGTTGGACACCATCAATTGTCAAATTGGACAGATGGGGACATTTATTATTTTTTTTCCTGTAGTATCAGGGATTATAGTATATTTCCTGAGCTTGCTGTTTGCTTAGCCCATGATCCCATACGCTCCCTGCTCTCTGCCAAAGCACACACCCCTACCCTCTCATGCCTAAAGGGAAATCTTACAGAGGTTCCTCCCATCTATGCTGTTCTACAAATTAATGCAGATTATTGCTTTCCCTAGGAGACAACTGCCTCATACTGATCCTGCCTCAATCCCCCCGGAGACAAGACTTCCCATTCTTTAGTGCCTCGTCATACCCCCTCATCCCACTTGCCACCATGACCACCTGCCTTGTATCCCTGACCATGACCTCCACCGGTCCCCCTTGGTTAAAAACAAAAACCACTAACCTTTCATATACTTTATTGAATTATAAGTTCATACCCTCCAACAATGTAACTGCTGAATCTTATACCTTGACCCAAGGCATACACCAAGATGTTGTCATAAAAATGTAACTCATAGTTTGAATACACTAAACAACTTCACCATGATATTGTTAGAAAACCTGAACATTTTCATTTTTTTTTCTTGGCTAATAGCATGTAAACTCGGAACGCAGTTCCAAGGACTCCCAATAATTGTTTTCCTTCTTTTCAAAAAATTTGTTTATTTTTATTCATTTATTTATTTATTTTTTCCCCTTAACAGAGGCACTGGGGATTGAACCCAAGACTTCGTGCATACCAAGCACGCCCTCTACCACTAAGCTATACCTCCCCCTGTTTTCCTCCTTTTTACTCTCATAGTAGAATATTCTCTATGCTATTTAGGGCAATGTATGCCCTCGACCCTCTAAAAGTCTCTTCTACTATTTAAGCCATGTGAATACTTTAAATTATTAAACTCAGAACTGATGTCAAGACATCAAGAGGTCAATTGTGATAACTTTTTTTTAATGCTGTCTTCATGATGAAACCAGAAAAGATGCTGCCCTGTCAGTTCCCCATCTTGAGCAGCTGATTAAGTCCATACCTCGACCATTTTCCTTACCTGATCTCACACTCCAGGCCATTATGCAGTGCCCTAATTGTCCCAGGGCCAGACAGGGACAACCAGCAACAGTCGCCAAACCCTAGAGAGTGATCACTTATTTAAATTAGCCAGGCTTCAGGGAGTGTGTAAATCCTAACTAACCTTCCCCACTTGTCGTAATGAGCTGTTCCCTATGACGCTGGTGTGCTGTTATCCTGTCCTCAGGTACAACTGTCTAGAGACCTTCCCTGGCAGGCTTCCCTTGTTTGGAGGTGTAAGTAACAAAGAGATCTGCCTTTCATCTCTGCGAGTGTCAGTGTGTTGTGGTTTGCCCTCAAAAGAAACCTTAGCTATCAGTTATTATAAGCTATTGAATATAGTTCCCTGCGCTACACAGTAGGGCCCTGTTGTTTATCCATTTTATACACAGTAATTTGTATCTGCTAACCCCAAACTCCCTATGTATTCCTCCTCTCTCTTTCTTCTTTGGTAACCGTTAAGTTTGTTTCCATGTCTTTGAGTCTGTTTCTGTTTTGTACATAAGGTCAAATAATAATAACTAAATAAAAGAAACCTTAAATCTTACAAAAAGATACTCCTGTGCCATTTCCTCAGCCAGACTCAACCCATCCTGGGTCTTTAGTTCTGACTAAAGGCATTTAAGTAAAACGACACACGAAGCCTTCCTCTGCCACCGTGCCACTTGCCGGGTTTTCTTAGAAGAGGCTTTGCCTCAGGCTGGCCGTCCTAAAAGATGATCTCCTTCCAGAGCCTCCAATGTGGGAAAGCAGGAGCTTCCTGGCTTGGATATATCTGCATAGTTCTAACCACTTCCCAGTATCTGACTGGAGCTGGGCTCCAGGCCCGTGGAGCGGGGGGCCGGATGGGAGGTGGAGGTGGAAAATAGGGGAAACAAATAACAAAAGCCCTGCCATCTGCTGGGTTCCTTCCTTAATGTCTGCTTCCCTCTCTTGTCTACTTGCTCTTCCTACTACTCCCCCCAATGTGGGAGGCTTTCTTTTGCTCTCATAAATTTTGGAATTGCTCACAAAAATGTATATTTAGAAGTCGCATGGATGTGCTATTGGAGCTGTTTGAAGAGATCTGAAGCCTGAACTGGTCAAACAGGCCAACTTAAAGTAGGTGTTGTGTTATAACGGCAAACTTTTAATGTGCCCGCTTTTCAGTGGTCCCGTGATCCCATAAAGACGTCTGTCATGCTGAAGAACCGTCCTGAAGGTGTCAGAAGAGAGGCCCATATTTGTATCATTTATTTTACTTGTAGAGAAAGGCACCTAACTAATTTTAAGGCTTTCATCAAAAACTTGTCTTTTTCTATCCCATAGTCCACTTCCTTTGGCCGAGCAGGTAAATTTTAAAGGAACTCAACACTACTGAGGGAGGCAGCCAAATGAGGCAAAATAACCAGGTGACCATTGTTTGGAAAGCTGGACAGCCACATGTAAATCAGTGAAGTTAGAACACTCCCTCACATCATACACAAAAATAAATTCAAATGGCTTAAAGGCTTAAACATAAGATAAAACACTATAAACTTCCTAGAAGAGAACCTAGGCCAAACATTGTCTGTTATGAATCATAGTAATGTTCTCTTAGGTCGGCCTGCCAAGGCAATAGCAATTAAAGCAAAAACAAAACAAAACAAAACAAAAAAACACAAATGGGACCTAATTAAACTTATAAGCTTTTGTACAGAAAAGGAAACTATAAACAAAATGAAAAGACAACCTACAGAATAGGAGAAAATATTTGCAAATGATGGGACTGACAAGGTCTTAATTTCTAGAATTTACAAACAGCTCATACAACTCAATAACAAAAAAACCCCCACAAACCACCCAATTAAAAAGTGGGCAGAAGACCTAAACATACATTTCTCCAATGAAGACATACAGATGGCCAACAAGAATGTGAAATGATGCTCGATATCACTGATCATCAGAGACATGCAAATCAAAACTGCAAGGAGGTACCACCTCACAATGGTCAGAGTGGCCATGATTAAAAAGCCCACAAATGATAAATGCTGGAGAGGGTAGAGAGGAGAGGGAACCCTCCTTCACTGCTGGTGGGAATGTAGTTTGGTGCAGCCATTATGGAAAACAGTACGGAGATTCCTCAAAAAACTAAAAGTAGACTTACCATGTGATCCAGCCATCCCAGTACAGGCATATATCTGTAGGAGACTCTAATTTGAAAAAATACATGCATCCCAGTGTTCATAGCACTACTATTTATGATAGTGAGGACATAGACTAAATGTCCCTTGACAGATGATTGGATAAAGAAGTTGTGGTATATATATATATATATGTATATGTTTATGTATATATAGTAGAATATATATATAGTAGTAGGATACTATTCAGCCTTAAAAAAGAATGAAATCATGCCATTAACAGCAACATGCATGGACCTGGGGATTGTCATAGTAAGTGAAGTAAGCCAGAATGACACAGAAAAACACTATATGCTATCACTTATATGTAAATTCTAAGAAAAGAAATGACACAAATGAACTTATTTACAAAACAGAAAGAGACCCACAGACATAGAAAACAAACTTACAGTTACCAGCGGGGGAAGGGAGTGAGGACAGATAAACTGGGAGATCAGGATTTGCAGATACTATTATATATAAAATAGATAAACAACAAGGTATTACTGTATAGTATAGAGAACTATATTAAATATCTTGTAATAGCCTATAATAGAAAAATGAAAAGGAACATATATGTGTGTGTGTTTATCTCTCTCTCTCTCTATATATAGATATATACACACACATACATAACTGAATCACTATGTTCTACACCAGAAACTAACACAACATTGTAAACTGACTATACTTCAATTAAAAATAAATCAATAAAATAAAATTAAAAAAAAACCCAGAACATTGAGAGAGGCAGCCAAATCAGCCAAAATAAAGAGGGTGACTATGGGCAAGAAATACCTCAGACAAATGATTGTCATATCAAATTTGATTGACTTGAAGTTCACCTCCTATCTTTTCTCTAGATGAAGTGTTAATAAGCAGTGAGAAAAAAGAAACAAAAACAAAGTCAAATTATCTAGTAAATTCTCAATACAGATGAATGTTTAAGTAGCTGGAATCTGATTTCTCTCTCTATTGAAAAATATAAAGCAGGTTTATTAAAGTATCATAACAAGTGCTAGCACCGAGTTCTCAAAGATATCTATTCAAGACTCTGGAGTTTGGGGCTTAAATTAATCTCCTGTATCCTCCATTCCAAATATTAAACACATTGTGAACTTAGTTTAAAACTTTAAAACATATCACAGGATAATTCTTAATAGATTCCTGGAAACAAGTTGAATTTGTCCACTCATGTATATAAAATATGTCATAGTGAAAATAACCACCTAAGAAATCATGTTTATCTCTGAAATCTGTGGTTGCATCACAGGTTTATGTGACAATCTAAATCTCTTGTAAGTCATGCAGGATTATGTCGAAATGCATTTCCAGAGGAGATGTTTACAAAACCACATGTTCATTGTAAATCTGCAAAGAAAAAAATTCATATGGTGCTCAATAAAGATTAATTTTAAAAGTTTAACTTTAAATATTTCCTAATTCTAAGTAAAAATGAAAATGTAAGATTAGAGAAGAAACCAAAGGTATCTGTGGTATCTCAGTGAAAGAGTCCTTTTGCTTGTAATGTGAATCCATTGGTCTTCTATAAATTGGATAGTGATTACATTATAAGCTTCTCCATGAACAGAGAATTATTTCTAATCAAAGCATCTGCAAATATTTATAACCAGTAGCTCTGACTGGAAAACAAGGCTGTTGATTTTAGAGTGCAACCTGTAGAATTCTGATTAAATTGAGGAAAAAAAAAACTCATAATGCATAATGGTCTTGTGTGTTGAGTCTCCAGATATTTATTTTGGTTGAATTCTTTTTGGCCTAACTGACTATGGCTGTAATTGCAAGGATGGAAGACTTAACTCCAACACGATACAATGTTTACTGCAAGTAGTGTTCTTTGGAAAAACCTACAAGAAGGGAAGAATCTTCCTTCTTAACAAACTATTTCTTGCAGGATTTATTTTCACCCTAGAGTAAAGAATGACATAGAAAAGTTTGCCAATGATACTTTATATCTGAGCTATATTTTATGTCCATTGTTAAAAACAATAGCACCACTTTATTGCCTTTGATTTACGAAGCACATTAACAAATGCTGCCTCAGTTACTTTGAAGGCAGACCAGGAAATAGTCTGCTGTCCTCATTATTGTCAGTTTTAGAGAAGAGAAAACTGAGATTAAAATGAAATTAAGATGTGCCAAAGGTCAGAAGCCTCATTTGTGATAAAACCAAAAATATGCTTTAACGTTTATAAACCCTTTCATTTCACCCCTTTAGCCTGTTGTGCCATCTTGCCTTAGGACACCCTCTGTGGCGTTATGGATACATCTGCATACGTATATCTGTATCTGTCCCTCTCTCAATCTCAATATAGTCATGCTTAATATATTTGGAAAAATGTTATTAAACATTGCCCCTGATACGTACATATGTATTTATATATAATTTGCTCAATATGTTTGGACAAAACATGAGAAAATATTTAATAATCTTTCCTTTGTAATTCTCTAGGATTAAATTATGAAATGGTGATAGAACTTACAGTGGTCTAGAGAAGTCAGGTGAGTCATTCAGGGTCCCGTTGCTGTAGCAACACGAGCACCA